CCCCCCTCCGCCAATCCCTCCACTGGCTTCCATCCCCCTTCCCCCTCTGCCAATCCCTCCACTGGTTTCCATCCCCCTCCACCCTCTGCCGATCCCTCCACTGGCTTCCATTCGCCCAAAGGATAAAAGTCAAAATATTAACAACCACTTACACTATATACACTTGAGACTATATCTCAAACCTTGTCTCAAAGTATAACCCTAATCGTCCGCTCTTCCTAAGACCTCCTGCTTTCCAGCTCCCTAGCCAACTCCTCCCATGCTTGCCTCCAGCACTTCTGTAGACTTTCTCCCATCCTCTGGAACTCTTTACCCCAACCTGTCCGTCTGTCTGCCACTTTGACTGCCTTTAGGCGATCCCTTAAGACTCATCTCTTCAGGGAAGCCTATCCCACTTCAACCTAACCGCTCAACCATCACGTTCTCAAACATTCATCCCCACACAGCTACCTCCTCATGTGTCACAGGCCCCTCCTCTTTTAGATTGTAAGCCCTCAGGGGCAGGGCCCTCCTTACCATCTTGTCTTAAATTGTATTGTGATTGTAATGCCTTCTCTATATTGTAAAGCGCTGCGCAAACTGTTGCCGCTATAAAATCCTGTATAATAATAATAATAGTATTTTAGAATGTAAATTATAATATGTTAAAATTATTATTGTCTATGAATACGTTATAGTTCAAAACATCCCCGGCAGTAAGGGTACCTGCGCTCCATTATTATAATTCACATGAACTTACTGACCTTTAAACCAGCAGCACAATTCATAGGACGGAGGAATGCTGGAGCGTGGAATGAGTGAACCTCTCTGAGCGGATCTCAATCTAGTATCATCGAGGAGGAGCGGAGGAACGATATCATTCCCGAGTCTGACTCTTCCAGATCCGTCTCTTTGGCTCTCGGTTCCTGGCTCGTTGGAGGGATGGACGTCGGAAGGGGAAGCAGAGTGACTCGTATGATTCTTAGACTCAGTGTGCTGGTGACTCAGAGCTGTTGGTTCACAGATGTGATTGGTTGCAGGGGTGGGCTGGGCGGGGCTGGCAGAAGCCTGACTCTCACCCTAGGATCATATTACAAGAGCGGCTCTCTGTCTCTGCTATACATTCCACAGACGCAGACCGATATTTCAAAGAACCGGCGCTCATTGTTACCGAGCCGCCGCTCATTCAGTCATCTGAGAGAACCGCTCAATAGATCCGGATCGCTCATGAGCAGGGGTGCCTAAATGTGCGGCTGTCCCTAAAAACAAACTCCCAGCATTGTGAGCTTTTCCAAGGGAGAGACGGGGGGATGGGGGATCTGTCCCAGGATACAGAAAGCTCTGTCTTCTCCATGTCAGGGAAGGGCAGGGTTGGGTCTTGTGTTCGATTGTAGGTGGAGGGGTTATTTAATAACAGGACTGATCTGCTTGGGTCATGGCCATCATCATTGGAGCCAACACATTCCTGGTCACATTAGGGGCACCGTACATAGGGCTGTGACTTGGGCATATCTAAGTAGATCATGGCCGGCGCCACAAGAAGCGTGACCCTAAGCAGATTAGGGACATCATACATAGACGGTGACCAGACAACTCTAGTTAGATCTACTAACTGCTAAAAACAATGGCCACTACTCTGTACTCATACTTTTAGACCTTTCTGCTGCCTTTGACACAGTTGACCACTCGCTTCTCCTTAAACTTCATTCCCTTGGCCTCCAAGACTCTGCTTTCTCATGGTTCATCTCCAACCTATGTCAGTGCACCTTCAGTGTCGTCTACAATTCTACCTCCTCCTCCAGAAAATCCTCCGCATTTTCTGGTGTTTCTCAAGATACACCTTTAGCCTGAAGGTCTTCCCACACCCAACACATGAAAATGGCCTCTCCTGGGAATGGACTCTCATGTGTGATGCAAGATATGACTGGTGAAGGAAGCTTCTCCCACACTCCGAACAATGAAAAGATTTATCTCTTGTATGAACCTTCTGGTGGGAGTCACACACTCGAGACAAGGGAATGGCTTTAGGTCCACGTGAACACTGAGCCATACCTGAGTCCAACTAGAGAACACTGAGCCATACCTAAGTCCAACTAGAGAACACTGAGCCATATCTGAGTACATCTGGAGAACATTGAGCCATATCTGGATCCACTTACAGAACACTGAGCCATACCTGAGTCCTTCTAGAGAACACTGAGCCATAGCTGAGTCCACCTAGAGTACAGTGAGCAATACCTTAGTCTACCTAGAGAACACTGAGCCATATCTGAGTCCATCTGGAGAACACTGAGCCATACCTGAGTCTATCTAGAAAACACTGAGCCATGTCTGGGTCCATCTGAAGAACATTGAGCCACATTTGAGTGTTCTGATACAATAACATATGAATCTGTATGTTAATATGTTCCTCTCTTACAGGTGACAACATGGAGGATCATTTCATTGTGTCCCAAGACTGTGACCAAGAATGTGAGAGGACCACACAAGATTCTTCATGAGACTCCTGCACCCTAGATCACCATCCAGGACATCACAGTAGAGCCAGCTCACCAGATTCCTCCAATCCGGAGGAGGAATAAGTTCCCCCACAACCTCGAAAATATAAATGCCCCGAGTGCGGGAAGGGTTTGTTGCAAAGATCTCATTACCTGGCTCATTTAAGGCTTCACACGGGAGAGAAGCCATTTGCCTGCTCAGTGTGCGGACGATGCTTCCAAGGGAAAACTAACCGCGATCGCCTTGAACAGACTCACTCCAGCGAGCGGCCTTTTACTTGCTCTCAAGTGCGGGAAGACCTTCGAGACAAAGTGGTGCCTCGCGGCGCACAGGAAAGTTCACAGCAATAAGAAGTCATCACATTAATGTTCCCAGTGCGGGAAACGTTTTACTACGAATGCTTCTCTTAGTCGACACTACTTGTCCCACAGCGGTGAGACTCCCTTCACATGTCCAGAGTGCGGGAAGAAGTATAAGCAGAAGTCGCAGCTCCTCGGCCACCAAAAAGTCCACACTGGGGAGAAACCGTTTTCATGCCAGGAGTGCGAGGAGCGCTTTATATGGCGGTTTGCCCTGAGAGCTCACCAGAGGATCGTCCACACAGAGGAGAGCACTTTTCCATGTTCCGTGTGCGGGAAACGATACCCATTTAAGTCGAGGCTCCTTGAACACAACTGTGGAAAGTGTTTTCCGAGCAGAAAAAAGTTGGCTCTGCACCAGAAGCTTCACACTGGAGATGGACTGCGGCAAATGGTTCACAGGCCAGTCACAGCTTCGAACTCACCGTGGCGTGCACACCGGAGAGAAGCCGTTTGCGTGTGCCGAGTGCGTGAAGGCCTTCAAACAGTTGCCACCGCTCCAGAGGCTTCACACGGTAGAGCGGCCTTTCGAGTGCAAGGAGTGCAGGAAGCGGTTCATCACCAAGGCTGAGCTCAGTCACCAGAATGTCCATTCGGGACTGAAGCCATTTTCATGTGAGGAGTGCGGGGAATGTTTCACCCTAAAAGGGCAGCTCAATGCTCACGTACGCAGTTTTCATGTGGACCTAAAGCCATTCCCTTGTCTCGAGTGTGGGAAGTGTTTCATCCACCAGTCGCACCTTGCCACCCACCAGAGGGTTCATACAAGAGAGAAATCTGTTCCTTGTTCGGAGTGTGGGAGAAGCTTCCTTCACCAGTCATATCTTGCATCACACATGAGAGTCCATTCCCAGGAGAGGCCATTTTCATGCGCTGGGTGTGGGAAGAGCTTCACGCTAAAAGTGTATCTTAAGAAACACCAGAAAATGCACACCACAGAGTCCAACGATCAGAAAATGCACACCAGCAACCCGGATGTGCATGTTGCAGATGCCGACGATCAGAAAACGCATGCTCCAGAGTCCAGTTTTTAGAGTCGAACTTATAAATCATAAACGTTCTAATTTTACTTTAGTCTGAACTTTTATCTACAGAGTGTAATAAAGATAGTTACCTCAATTCTGGCTTCTCATCTGATATACAAGATGGGGGTTGCAAGTTGGTGCAACCCCACTGTGGCCCATCCTTGTGACCTGACCTCCACTCCCCATCTTTACATGAGGTCACATGACCAATGGTGTGGGTTGATGGGACTGGCCTCAGTAGGGGCCCTGAATGGCATTTCTACTGGGCAATGAGGCATCACAGGACTAGCAGAGCACTACTGTTTTAGATGGATTAGGGAATTGCCTCTAAGAGAGATTGTCCTTTACTTCCTGTCCTGGAGACGCAACAGGAAGTGAGAAGAGGTCTCGCAAAGTTTAGGAATTCCCCCTTTACACGGTCACCGGAGCAAATGTTCTCATTGGATGATTTCCCTTCTCTTCCTGTTCTGGTGAAAACTGGTTAGTTTTGGATTCTTGCCAATACTTTCTGTCTTGGGGAGAGTGGTCACCAGGAAAGCTATAGAGGGAGGAAATCCCCATAGCGGGAACAGAGAGAGCAGTGAAATCCTGGCAGGGGTTCTAGCCCTTCCCTACTCCATCCAAAGCTAATAAAAAATGTTTTGGGGTGCAGGATGGTTAGAAGGGGGAGCCAGGGGGTCATTTTGCTATATACCTGCTTTAAGATGGAGCAATAAAAGCTCAGGCAATGTCCACTTGATGGGGCTCTTTAGTAACGATGAATGATTTTAGGGTTCCAGGACTCACCCCCAGAAGAACGTGCAGTGAGGATTTAAAAACGGAGAGAATCGCAGTTCTTATAGATGACCACACGGTGGCGCCATTGTGCAGTAATACTTAATGCTGCCGTTCTAAAAGATGACCAGTTCTGATATTTACCACAAGACGGCGCACATGATACGTACTTAGGTATAAGGAGCTGTAGTTCAAAATATGTCCACACGGTGGCGATCTTACATACTGATAATGACTGCCGGTCTGATATTTAGCACAAGAGGGCGCAAATTATATGTAAAGGGAGCTACAGTTCGAAAAATGACCACACGGTGGCGCTCCTGTGCACGACAAAAATGACCCGACGGCGGCAATCTTACAAATTGATGATGACTGCAGTTCTGATATCTACCACAAGGCGGCGCACATTTTATGAATTAGGATCTACAGTTCGAAAAATAACCACACGGTGGCGCTCCTGTGCAGTACAAACATTTCCACACGGTGGCGATCTTAGATATTGATGATAATGACTGCAGTGATTATATGATACGCACATGATACGTATTAGGTGCTGCAGTTCAAAATATGTCCACACGAGGGCGATCTTAAATATTGATAATGACTGCAGTTCTGATATTTACCACAAGAGGGCGCACATTATATGTAGTAAGAGCTGTAGTTCGAAAAATGACCAGACGGTGGCGCTCCTGTGAAGGAGAAAACACGGTGGCGCGTTTGTGCAGTACTAAAAAGACCAGACGGTGGCGATCTTACATATTGATGATAATGAGTGCAATTCTGATATTTACCACAAGGCGGCGCATATATGTAACAATAAACTGCAGTTACAACAATGGCCGCACGACGGCGCAATAATAAATTGATAGATACTGATGTAGTTATGATATTCACCACAAGGCGGCGCACATTATCATTATTCCGCTGTAGGCGTTGCAGTACAAACAATATATCAACATTTGAGGTCTTCCTTTAATTCCAGCGAATGATTTACAATATTGTTGGTATGATTTATTATATTATTTCTATTGTTACATTATTCTTTTACAGGATTAGTCAATTAGAATATATTTATTTAGGTCATTTTTCGCATTACAGATAATACAGCTGCAGTTCTGATATTGACCACAAGGAGGCGCACATATTACAGAAATATCACAAACTGCAGCTCTGGCAATGGCCAGACGGTGACGCGGTTACACATTGCTAATTACGGCTGCAATTATATTTCCCACAGGGTGGCGCGCATTAAATAATGACTGCAATTCTAAAAATGACCACACAGTGTCACTCTATCAGTAACAGCGAGGCAGCAATTCCACGTTTAACCACACGGTGGCGCTCCTGTAACAATGACAGAAAACAACCGGAAATACATACAGGAAGTAAACGCTGTTGGAACGCAAATGCCGGAAGTAGCGCCTGGTGAAACGCACGCGCAGTGTGGGGATGTAAGGCTTGAGACTGGCAACGCATGCGCGGAAGCTCCTTCTGTGTAGCTGACCTACTGGCAGTAACAGGATGTGACGTCACGAGTTGGCTAATTTGATACTGTCGATAGAATGCCACTCGTGGTCACTATGGCAACCAAGAAGCGGCTGTTCAGAAGTGGGAGGAGGGCTTCCGATGCTGAGGGAGGATAGGGATGATAGAGAGGAGACGGGCACAGCCTCTGGCTGAGGAGAAGTCTCTGTGGTACCAGCAAGAGCTGGAGGAGTTATAGCAGGAGGGTAATAACTATGAGGATATTTATTAATGGCTGGAGAAGTTTAGGTTTAGAAGAGGAACATTTTACATCATATATATATATATAAACAGTATTATCAGCATTGAGCTCCCCCTGCAGGTTGTATGTAGAAGTATAAAATATTCCTATGCACCATCTATTTAGCTATGACATAGGCCCCTTGAAATGGGAGATTCCATTTTATTTCAGCGGGGGGATTTATAAATGGATCTCTAGCAGGTCAGCTCAGAATATAAAGGGGTGTCACATATATTTGTTCCCTCCTCCCCCACAAGAAGCGACCGTTGGAATCCCTATGGGCAGCCAGAGGTAAAGGGGTGTGCGTCCACCTTTATCCGCCCACCAAAGGGGACCTGGTCACAAACCTGTTGTGTTTGGTCCGACGAAACCTAAACGGACCCGGGTGTAAGCAGACGCACATCAACTCACGTCCGGATGCCCATAAGAATGCATTGCTGCCGTTTCTCGATCCATCTAATCACGGGTCACTGGTGTGAAAGACGGCTAAATAAGGGTTAATTCCTTGTTTTAGGGGTGGAGCCATCATTCCCCTTTGCCCCTGCTCCATCAAAAACAGTGATGGGCAACCTCAGCTCCGGCGTGAAGCCTGATATGAGCAAGGCATCGTGACTCTACCCAGCACATCATAGGTTAAACGTCATGTCCATACATCTCTGCAATACGTACACATTTCCCCGTGTTTTATCCCTTCCACCACCTCAACAGCGCCGTATAGAAAGGAAAGTCCAAGAGGAAGATCCAGTGTTCCCGAGCCTCATAGAAAACGCAGATGTGCGCCCATTGGAACCCTGCGATCGAGCTGTCGTAGTTCCATGAATGCAAACAATGCCAGTTGATCCTGCCAGAAATCTTGTGAGCAAACAAAACACAATCCCTCCAATACTGACCCTCCCTGTAACCCCAACACTGACCCTTCCTGTAACCCCGACACTGACCCTCCCTGTAACCCCGACACTAACCCTCCCTGTAACCCCAACACTAACCCTTCCTGTAACCCCAACACTAACCCTTCCTGTAACCCCAACACTAACCCTTCCTGTAACCCCAACACTAACCCTTCCTGTAACCCCAACACTAACCCTTCCTGTAACCCCAACACTAACCCTTCCTGTAACCCCAACACTAACCCTTCCTGTAACCCCAACACTAACCCTTCCTGTAACCCCAACACTAACCCTTCCTGTAACCCCAACACTAACCCTTCCTGTAACCCCAACACTAACCCTTCCTGTAACCCCAACACTAACCCTTCCTGTAACCCCAACACTAACCCTTCCTGTAACCCCAACACTAACCCTTCCTGTAACCCCAACACTAACCCTTCCTGTAACCCCAACACTAACCCTTCCTGTAACCCCAACACTAACCCTTCCTGTAACCCCAACACTAACCCTTCCTGTAACCCCAACACTAACCCTTCCTGTAACCCCAACACTAACCCTTCCTGTAACCCCAACACTAACCCTTCCTGTAACCCCAACACTAACCCTTCCTGTAACCCCAACACTAACCCTTCCTGTAACCCCAACACTAACCCTTCCTGTAACCCCAACACTAACCCTTCCTGTAACCCCAACACTAACCCTTCCTGTAACCCCAACACTAACCCTTCCTGTAACCCCAACACTAACCCTTCCTGTAACCCCAACACTAACCCTTCCTGTAACCCCAACACTAACCCTTCCTGTAACCCCAACACTAACCCTTCCTGTAACCCCAACACTAACCCTTCCTGTAACCCCAACACTAACCCTTCCTGTAACCCCAACACTAACCCTTCCTGTAACCCCAACACTAACCCTTCCTGTAACCCCAACACTAACCCTTCCTGTAACCCCAACACTAACCCTTCCTGTAACCCCAACACTAACCCTTCCTGTAACCCCAACACTAACCCTTCCTGTAACCCCAACACTAACCCTCCCTGTAACCCCGACACAAACCCTTCCTGTAACCTTAACACTAACCCTCCCTGTAATCCCAACACTAACCCTTCCTGTAACCCCAACACTAACCCTTCCTGTAACCCCAACACTAATCCTCCCTGTAATCCCAACACTAACCCTAACTCTGTGAGCCTAACACGATCCCTCCAACTCCAATACTAATCCTCTCTGTAACCCTGACCACCTCTTATGTAATCCTAACTCTGCCAACATACTCACCTAGGTTGCGGACCAGCCCATCTTGTGCCACAGCCGGGGGGATGAAAGCCGTTGTGAACTTGCTGGCTTTTTAAACGAATGCTGTACCTATGTATGCAACAGCAGCGACCACCTGAGAGGTAGAAGACAATGAAGACAGACAAAGGAAACACAAAAGCAATAAAAAGAAAGCATACTCTATTGAATGTTAACAAATGGGTAAAAATCAAAGTGCGTGATGCCTGTTTCTGTCCGGTACAAGGAGCGCACTCACACACCACAGCAAACTCGGAGAACCTGAAAAATGGTCCATAACCAACAGTTTCCAATGTCCAGAAGATGCCAGTGACCTAATGTTTTTTGAACTACCAGAAAATTCCCGCACAGGGTCCATGATTCCACATGCGAGTTGTTAGGTGTCCTTTAGGATGAGCTGTTCAGTAAAAACATTTCTCTCATCCTTATCATGAATAATACGGCTTCTGCCCGGTGTGACTTCTCTGATGTAAAAGCAGATTTTTATTCTCGGAAAAACTCTTCCCGCACTGTGAACATGAATACGGCTTTTCCCCCATGTGCGTCTTCTTGTGATAAACGAAAGCTGATCGCATAGTAAAACTCTTCCCGCATTCCAGACACGAATAGGGCTTCTCCCCCGTGTGAATTCTCTTGTGATCAACGAGAGACGAACTCGTCGTGAAACATTTCCCGCATTCTGAACATGGAAACGGCTTCTCCCCCGTGTGAGTTCTTTGGTGGTTCACGAGAGCCGAACTCTCGGTAAAGCATTTCCCGCATTCCGAACACGAATACGGCTTCTCCCCGGTGTGGGTTCGGTGGTGGTAAAAAAGAGCAGACGGCGTAGCAAAACATTTCCCACATTCTGAACACGAATACGGCTTCTCTCCCGTGTGAGTTCTCTTGTGATTCACAAGCCCCGAGTGCGAAGTAAAACTTTTCCCGCACTCTTCACATGAATACGGCTTCACACCAGTGTGCGTTCTCTGGTGTTTGACAAGAGCCGAACTCTCTGTGAAACATTTCCCACACTCCGTGCATGAATACGGCCTCACCCCAGTGTGACTTCTCTTGTGATGAAAAAGAGCTGAACTCGAGGTGAACAATTTCCCACATTCCGAACACGAATAGGGCTTCTCCCCCGTGTGAGTTCTCTGATGTTGGAGAAGACGGGCGTTTGTGTGAAAGCATTTAGTACAATGGGAACAGGAATACGGCTTCATGCCGGTGTGAGCCCGGAGGTGGTAATTAAGACTGGACTTCTGGCTGAAACATTTCCCGCATTCTGAACACGAATGCGGCTTCTCTCCGGTACCAGTTCTTCCTTCGTTAATCAAGCACAGCTTCCGAAGAAAACACTTCCCGCACACGGAACATGGCTTCTGCCCCGTGTACGCTCGGTGGTGTACGGTGAGAGTTTCATTCCTGGCGAAAAACTTCCCGCAGATGTAACACGGGAGCTTCTCATCTTCTCTATGATCTGGAGGAGGGGGGATGGGAGGCGAGTGATCTGGAAAACTCCCCCCAGGAGTAGGGTGATCAGATGACCCCTCGTTACTAGGCAGGACTGGATGGAGATTTGGGGCATTGAGGTCTTCTCCTGGAGAACTGGATGTGAAGTCCTTTATGGGACCCATCACCGTGTCGTTCTTGATGTATTGTCCATCTGGAGGAAATAAACAGATGAAAGGGCAACAGGTAAAAAAGAGCATCAAACAAAAATGATAAGTTGGCTGCAATATAAGTGCCCTTCACAAGTTCTCAGAGGGTAATCTAAGCTGCTATGTGGTTTACAGAGTTCAACAGCTCAAGCTTCAGAGACGTAAAACACGGGTCAAAATATCAACCTCAAGATATGGACCCCAGAACACGGACTTCCCTCTACATAGAAATGTCCTATTTGCTTGGAAACTCTCCATGTAGCAACATTGATGAACCCGTACAACCCTCCTGAAGAACATCGAGACCCCAATGATGTGTCCCGTTTCCTGCAGTCTGATGACCATCCGACGAATCATAAGGCTCGGATTTGTTACACTACCACCAGGGGGAGCTGTGGATGAAACTTAGACCTGCAGCCCTGGATGGAATGCAGTACATCAGATGGAGAGAACTCTCTAGAATTATTATATGGGGGGAGGAGTATGACTAATTCTCTACCATAGCCCCCTCCCTCCTTCCACATCACAGCCCCCTCCCTCCTTCCACGTCATAGCCCCCTCCTCTTCTGGGATTTCTCAATTACTATCTGTGCTGGCCAAGCTCCTCTGCCTCTCCTCAAAAGGAAATACTAGAAAGTGTCACTTCAGTCTGCAGACTACTGACATCACATCCAAGATGGCAGCCCCCAGTACCAGTCTCGGGGGTCGAAATTAATTGTCTGGCGTCTCTTTAAACAGGAAGTGAAACTTTGCCCAAAAAAGCGCAAAAGACGAGTCACCAGCATGGCCCGTGGTCTACCTTCGGCTGACCTTTCCCCACTACTGGCTGACCAAACCTTGTTCTGTACCAGGGGTAGCCAAACTCTGGCCCTCCAGCTGTGGTGGAACTACAAATCCCATGAGGCATTGCAACATTCTCACAGCCACAGACATGACTTTCCCGGAGAGAGATGCATCATTGGATTTATAGTTTCACCACAGCTGGAGGGCCGGGGTTTGGCTACCCCCTGTTCTGCACTGTGTCTCTGTATGAAGGCGGCCATCTTGGTAGAGGCAGGGCTTTGCTTCCACGTATCAGAACCGAGAGCGGTGACATCGCCAAACCTTACTCCAAATCTCCTGAGACTAGAATTTAGGTGCAGCAGTGCCTCAGATCTCACACTGCAGATAGACACCTATGGAGACTGTAGGTACAGGAGTTCCTGGGCACAATCACATACCGGGAAGCGGGTCAATCTTTCAGGCACAATATACACTTCTAGATGGTTCCATATTGGTTTTTGGTCTGGAGACAATGACGGAAGCTTTTCTGGATCTGTCTAAAACCGACCAATTGGGGGGCTTCACCGCATCCATCATCCCATGACCCCTCACTCAGATAGGGAGTACTCACCTCCTCACAGGGACTTCCACTTTAATCATGTATTGATTGTGTACTGTTCTTTATTGCTCCCCTGGTATCAGCCCGCCATGTTTGTTCAATAAAGTTTCAAGGATCCGACAGTCTGACTTATTGAAGGGTTAAGCTGCGCACAGACCACTAGGTAAGCGAGGACAGAACATGTATCAAGGCAGGGGATGCCTACAATTTGACCTCAAGCGTAGTGCAGACTTCTCGGAACTTCAGTGATCCGGACCTGGATCGGTGAGCAGAATTCCGGGAGTGTCACATGACATTACTCTATTACAGGCGCAGAGACCTGACCACACAGGGGCAGTATTCTGGACCTGCAGCCCTGGATGGAATGCAGTACATCAGATGGAGAGAACTCTCTAGAATTATTATATGGGGGCAGGAGTATGACTAATTCTCTACCATAGCCCCCTCCCTCCTCGTACGTCACGGCCCCCTCCCTCCTCGCACGTCACTGCCCCCTCCCTCCCTTATCACGTGTCTCATCTCCATTAATAGATCCCAGGCCAGAGTGTGGGGAGATGATTCTAGAAGTATGATAACAGTCCTTTCTCACACTAGGCGACATGTAGAGACAACTTCCCCATTTTATGAGATACATGAGAAGAGGACAGTAATGGACCACACACAAAGAAAGGGATTCCATAGATAGACACGGGTCAGTAATACAGATTGGTCTTTCCTCATGCAGGAGGACTGTCGTAGTTACTGAAACACAAGAATCTTTTTCTGTACATAACGCGTTTCCCCAAAAATAAGACGCTGTCTAAAAAAAACCACACTAGATCTTATTTTTTATGTACAACAATCCACATGTCCTCATGTACACAAATATGGTGATCAGGGCAATCAGGGGTGCCGTACCTTTCCAAGAGCAAATTACTAACCAATCGCTGGCCAGAATGAGGGAAGCGCACTTTCACTATCGATTCCTCACAGGCGGAGCGCATTTGGTATCACTCCGCCTGTGACAGGAGGCGGGGCTATAGAGGAGGCATCGGCTTATGCGGCTCTGCTCCCTCCGCTGCCGCCTCGCTTCCTCTAGCGCTGGCTTCGTTGGCACCGCTGACTCTCTCCCGCCTCTCCAAGTTCCCCCTTATGCCACCACCGGACCTAGTAATGGTCACAACTAGGTGTTTATTACCTGTGCCGATCTCAACAGGAACTTCCTCCTCTTTAATCCTCAAAAGTCCATCTTCCTCAGCTTTGACGTCTCTCTGAGCCTCCCTGGGGTCCTGAGGCTGATGGCTCCTGACTCCCCCCCACTAGACACATTCCGTCCCCCCATTACTGTCTACTGACAGAGGAGGGGGGAGAAGAAGAGGTTAATATAGTGACTGAACAAGGAGAATCTGGGACTCTTCTCTGCATTTATTCCTCACCTGTGCCGACATCTGAAGGTATCTCCTCCTCTTTGATCCTCACATGTCCTTCTTCCTCCTCCTCAGCTTTAAAGTTTCTGTGAGTGCCTCCTGGGTCTGTGAATAAAGATGAGAGTGAAGCCCCCTGTACTGAGATGTATGAGAGACCCCAGAGAGTGTGTGTGGGGGGGGAGACTGGTCAAGTCTCTTGGCTGGTAACACACAATGACATGATGTGAGGAGGAGAGCCGGAGTCTAATAGAGGCTGATGGCACCTGACTCCCCCCACTAGACATATTCCGTCCCCCCATTTCTGTCTACTGACAGAGGAGGGTTATGGTTGAACAAGGAGAATCTGGGACTCTTTTCTGGATTCAGTGTTTATGACTCACCTGTGCTGATCTCTGGAGAAACCTCTTCCTCTTTACACATATCAACACTCTTCACAAGCATCTCTTCTCCATCTTCAGCTTTAATAATCAGGCCTTTACCCTGTAGAAGATTAATCCGGTTTATCTGCATTATGATTTCAGATATAACATGTTATATTCATTAAGACACTTGGTTCTATCTACCTGATCCTCCTGCGGGATCTCCTGATGTTCCTGTGTGGAATCCCGGGAATACAGAGGACTTGGACATCTCTCTGGGATATTCCTGTTCCTGGATCCATCTGTAGGAAACACACACACTGACTGAATACATTGTTTCTATGTCTTTATATCAGAGGATGTGTGTATCTAGGGGGATCCTCAATACTCAGGAAATGAAAGTCTCCTCTTACCCGGTGATGTGAGGGGCGGCCGATTCTCCATCATGGCGTCCTTGTAGAGATCCTTGTGTCCTGAATATTTCCCTTCTGTGCTGAATGAGGCAGAGACATCCTGACATCTCATAGGAACCTGACATACACATGTCCCAGAATTCCCGGCACTGCTCACCTCTCCCGTCAGCAGCTCAATGATCTTCTGAGTAGCTTCCAGAATCTTCTTGTCATTGCTTTTTTCAGATATGATGGGGCTCTGTTTACTGCTCCAACTTTGTGACCTGCGTGTTATGTGATGGTCAGATGGCTTTTTCACTATAAGGCTTTCCTGTGTTTTAGGAGAGAAAATATTTACATCCCACCATAAATGAATGCAGTTTTTTGCCACTAGGAGTAACCAAAATCCAATCTCCGGTCAGCTCTGTGTTTTATTAATAGAGATGAGATTGATGTCATGTGACCTCCCAGAATCCCCCTCACCTCTCCGGTCAAGTCTCTGTTTTATTAATAGAGGTAAGAATGATGTCATGTGACCTCCCAGAATCCTCCTCACATCTCCGGTGAGGACTGTGTATTATGAATAGATATAAGAGAGATGTCATGTGACCTCCCAGAATCCCCCTCACCTCTCCGGTCAGGTCTGTGTTTTATTAATAGAGGTAAGAATGATGCCATGTGACCTCCCAGAATCCTCCTCACCTCTCCGGTCAGGTCTGTGTTTTATTAATAGAGATAAGAGTGATATCATGTGACCTCCCAGAATCCTCCTCACCTCTCCGGTCAGGTCTGTGTTTTATTAATAGAGATAAGAGTGATGTAATGTGACCTCCCAGAATCCTCCTCACCTCTCCAGTCAGGACTGTGTATTATGAATAGATATGAGAGATGTCATGTGACCTCCCAGAATCCTCCTCACCTCATCAGTCAGCAGGTAGATGATCTCCAGGGTGAGTTTTAATATCCTCTCAGTCACGTGACCGCGCTCCGTCTCCATCTTCAAGCACTGTTCAAGCAATGACCTGTTTTGAGGTGTTTCCTTAGAAACTATTGTTATGCCTTCACTTCAGCTGACCCTGGACACAAAAATATAAAAACAGGACCAATAAAGAACATTTATTTAAAGCAACCTCATGAACAATCAGAATATCCACATTAAAAAAGTGCCCCTGTCAAAAGATTGAATACTTATCTCTCCCACCATTTGCCCCAACCAACCAAGTTTGTGCAGGAACACTTCTACTTCCTGTAGTGATGTACGGTGTGAGGAGAAGGAGGCCTGCTGACCCCAAGCTGAGCAGTGAGAAGGTTGAAGTCGGGTTGCACACCAGACCATCATTTCCCCAAAATTGGACAAAATGCTTTAAATGTGATGTTTGTACTTCAGCAAAGGGCGGCAACCTTTAGGAGCCACAGACAAGACTGGACTCCCCCGCAGTAGAGCGCGACCAGCTCGAGCAGATCAAGTCGAATAAACAAAACTTCTACCGGGATCATAAATCCTGCCCAGCCTATCACCAAGTCTGGTTGTAAATGGCTAAATGTCTTCATGAACAACACTTGGTGGGGGCTGGAAAGCCAATAGCCATGGTAACCTTCTATTACAACCAATGTTATCCAATGGAATCGGATCAGAAAAGGCCCGTCTGGTGCTTGATTCCACATCTGGGAGTCTGGGTG